GGCCCCAGAAGCTCCTGAGGTCAAGTAACCCTGAGCTGCTGGCTAGGGCAGGTTTTTGTACTGTTGGGGCCAGGACAGGGCAGCTTTTTATACTGCTGGGGACAGCACAGGTGTTGGCCCTAGGCTCTAGCTCCCCCTGGCTGCAGATTCTGGAGGAGCAAGGCAGGGTTATTTTGCCCCAAGTGGCACAATTTGCTCCACAACAAAGTGCATGTCTGAGCATGTGCGCTGAGGAAAAAAGCCCTGGCTCAAATTTGCACCACTTCTATTTGAGCTGCTGCAAGCACACATGCTTGCATCTGTGGACCCGCCCTTTAGCTCTACTTTTATCTGGAAATACCATTTTGTTTTCATGATGTCCTGTCTGGAAATTATATTTCTGCTTTCATATTTTGTTTCTTTCCCTTTTTTGAATTATTTTTACTTTATCTAAATGCATTGTTTTGCTAGCATGGTCTTCTGAATAAAAGGTAGATAAAGAAATCTTAATTGGTCTCTTCTTGTTTCATGTCATGTTCAATCTTATTTCTTTTGGCTTGCTTATCTGAAGCTACAGTGTTCCTGATTTGGAAGCCTAAGGATCTCTGCATCAATGGAATCCACATTTCCTTTGGAGAGCAGACCTCAATTTCTCTAGTGGCTCCTGTACCCTGTCTCCAACATTTGGAAGACAGACCCTATCTCTTAAAGTTTTGAGAAGTAAAGCTGCTGCACTCAGCCATTCAGCCCCTCTGTCTTCTGGAATAACAGAACAACAAGCTAAGACTGTCTAGTTTCCATTTGTTCAGATACCATATATCTTTCTTGTGCAGTTGGATCATCCAAGGTAGGATAGTCCTGGGACTGAAAGAGTTAAAACAGATGCCTAAACTTAGGCTTCTAGACATCAAAGTAAGTGGCTTACTTTTCAAATGCATTAAACACCCAAGCAACCCACACTAGAGAACTGTGAAAATGGAGAACACTTTTTCTTCCCTAATCCTTGTCTTTATATTTTGTTTTATTTGTTTTTCATACCTAGAAGATGTCAGGGAACTGCACAAAAATGAAGGAATCAGTGCCTTTGAGTGGCCAATACCGATAGGTAGGGATGTCCTTAAATCACAGAGCCTGGGGCCAAATTTCGAGGGCTTGTCACAGCCCTGGCTGGGCTCCAATTTCACATGCAGGTTGCAGCCAGCCACACCCCCCCCACACCTCTGATTGGTTGGGACACCCACTGCCCCCTGGTTCAGCTCCCTGCCTGACCCTGGCCTGCACAGGTGAAAAATAAGCCACTCCGCCCCCTCCTGGCTCTGCACAGGGATAGGCCACCGCTGCTCTGATGCGCATCAGCTGGGCCCCACTGTCCCCTCACCATGACCCAGTTGTGCTCCCCCCCACCCTCCCTGGCACTGCACAGGGATGGGCTGCTGCCATACTGCTGCCCCCTGGCTGGGCCCTGCTGCTGCTGCCCTCCCTCCCCCCACTGGCTCTATTCCCCTCCAGTCCAGTCATGTGCCCCCCCTCCCCCAGCCCAGCTCTGCTTCCCCAGGCCCAGCCCCACTCCCTTCACCCCATCTCCCACCCTCTGCAGCACCCACTTATTTTGGGACGGGCCTGGCTGTGCCAGATGACTTTGGATGCAAATAAGATAAAGCAGGACTGGGCCTGTCCCTGTCTGCTGGAGCTGCAGGGTTGAAAGACTGTATGAGGGTTGCCTGCTTGCTCAATCAGCAGCCAGGGGTAGGAAAATAAAAAACTCTTATTTTTACATAGAGCCCAGCCTTTTCCACTTTTTTTGTGGGGTCCTTCTTTTGCAGACTTCTCTGATTTTCATGGAATATGCCTGATTTCACATTTTCTGCATATATCACAAAATCTTGATTTCAATAAATCCCTACTGATAGGAAACAAAAGTCAGCCTGCTACCTGATAATTTATCTTTGGAAGCACTCTGTTTTACTTCTGTTCCCCATCCTTTTTAGTTCTGATCCTCTACTTACTTATCCCTGTGTCCCTTCTCCAATCACTCTTAACTACTATTTATATTCCTGACCTCACCCTATATTTTATAGGACCAGGAAAATGAAGCTAGGAGCCTAGGCTTGTTCATGTCTGAGTTTAGCATGTTAAAGTCTGGTCTATCTTACCTATGCAAATACTTCAGAATATCTTAGAACTTATTGTATCCACAATGGTCCAAGGAATGTGAGAGAAGCAAAGCTTGTTAGGTTATAACTTTTATTGGACAACTACATAGTTGGAGACAAGATGCCCTTCCTCAGGTCTGGGAAAGAAGCAGAGGTTTATTGCCCTCTTTCTTTTTTTCAGCAACTATTTTCATTTACATTATGGGATTAAATGAAAGTAATATATTGTATCTGATGTTTAGCTTAAATAGTATCTGCTTCTTTTCCAGACTTGTGGAAGGGCATATTATGTTGAAAAGCTTGTTGAACATCTCTTCAAACAGAGATAGGAGAGCGTACTTCAAATCATCCTCCCTAGGACTTGATAGGTAGCTTATCTAACACCACACTTTAAAATTAATTAGGAAAAGGCTTCAGTCTTATGCTGTAGGCCAGGATTGCCCAAATAGCAGTCTGTGAGCTACATGGAGCCTACAACGGGTTAACTTGCAGACTCTAGGCTCTTGGGCTAGGCGCCCTTCCTCCCTCCTATCACTCTCATATAGCTGTCACTGGGGTCCCCAGGCTCCCCCTCCCTCCCCTAGCTTCTGCTTCTTGTGGGGCACTTCCTGGGGGCACAACAGGGCTAGGAGGCCCATGGCCGAGGATGCCGGCAATCTGGGGGGCTGCACCACAAAAGGGGTGGCCCGGGGGTGGGGAGGTATGGCCACTCAGAAGTTAGATAGCTCTGCTCTAGGACCTACTGTAGCCCATGAGCACATCTATTTGTATAGAACCTTAAATCAAAAACTTTTTTGTTAACAGCATGTGTGACTGGATGGGCTGGCAGTCAACTGCAAAGTCAGGCAGACAGAAAATGAGGGACCCGTTGCAGGGGTCAACTGGAGGACTGGATTAAGAGGGAGGAGCTGAAATAGGGGATGACTTGGCAAATTTGAAAGAACAAGGAGAAGAGGAGCCAATTATATTATGTTATTTACGTACTAACAAGAAGTACAAAGAAGAACAAGTGATATTGATTCTACATTCTAGATTGATTGATTGATTGATGGATGCACATTCTAGATATGAAGACTTGCTAATTTCCACCCAGTAATCTTCTCTGTACAAGTTTCTAAGTGCTATCAGCAGAAATAATGACATCTTCGTGTGCAGAGCAAGTTCTTAACATTAGAATACTCCTGTACCATCTAGTGAGCTTTGACTTGAAATGAAATCAATAAAATGGGAAACAGGAGATTTTATATGAAATCATTCTCACTTGAACCTGATCAAACAATACACACAGCTATCTCTGTAAACTGAAGCATGTAAATAATTCTATTGAAAACATGCTACTTTTTTTAGAATTTAATCGACCCAGAGCCACAAACATTTTTAGAACTATAACAGCCCTAGCAAAATAAGTAATGGGAGTGTGCAGAGTTGTAATTAACCTTAAACATAATTTAGCATAAAAATCATAGTATTGAATAGGCCTGTGCAAAGTGGCTAGTATTCACTTTGGATTCAGATTGACAGTGTCCCAAATCAGTTTGGCCGAATCTGATTCAGAGATTTGGCTGCAGCTGAATCAGCCAAATCTCTTAAATTGAGAGCTTTGAATCAATTTGGATTCAGCGATTCGGCCACTGAATTGGGCCGAATCTCTTCCGACTTGAATCAGCACCCGAAGCTTTGCACAGCCCTAGTATTTAATGCATTGGAATAGAATTACCAAAAAGAGGTTCAGTTATTGAATTCTGATGTATCCCTGTCTCTCTCTCCCCCCTCCCCAGAAGAAAGATTGCCATCAAGTCTCAGATTTATTAAATAAATAAATAAAACTAATGTTTTACCCCACTTTCTACTATAGATATTGTACCTACATTTTCTTTTTCTGTCCACAAGAGTTGTTATTGGAAAGTAATCGGCACAGGAATAAATCAGAGATTTCATTTTCACCGTATACTACAGTGAAATGAGTTGCTTACAGGCATAATATTTATATGTGTAAACTCTACCCACAAAAATAGAGACAAGGCATAGTTTAAAAGGGATGAAATTATAT